GCTTTAGCAACCAATCCCATTCTCCATTCTAAAGCTAAACACATAGAAATAGACTGTCATTTTGTGCGGGAAAGAGTGCAGCAAGGCACCATTATGTTGCAGTTTGTTAACTCATCTGAACAGTTTACTGATATTCTTACAAAGGGTCTCTGTTTTCCTTTGTTTAGTTCTCATTGTAACAATCTTATGCTAGCCAATGCCCAGCATAAAATTGAGGGGGAATGTTAGGATAAAAGATTAGTATTGTTTTACATTGCCAGGTGTCACAATTGTATTGGGAACTCTAGAAGTCAGTTATGTGTCATTGTATTTATAAGGATGTATGATGTAATAGTTGGATATAATGATAATACAGTTTCTCTCTCTACATTCTCTCTCGTCGAAAGCTTTCTTGAGTTCTTCATAAGTTCTTCTTCATAGTTTGTTATCAGCGTTATCATAGCGGAGATGAGGATGCTTCGTGGGATGTATGGACACACGAGAAAGGATAAGATTGGGAATGAGGATATTTGAGGTAAAGTAGGAGTAGCCAAAATTGAAGGAAATATGAGAAAAAATCGGTTCCGGTGGTTTGGACATGTGCAAAGAAGGCCTACTGACGCTCCGGTTCGAAAATGTGACTACGGAACAGAGGTTCAGGGCCGAAGGGGTAGAGGAAGACCTAGGAAAACTTTGGAAGAGACCCTAGGAAAAGACTTGAGTACTTGGATCTAACGGAGGACATGACACAAAACCGAGCGCAATGGCATTCTAGGATTCATATAGCCGACCCCACTTAGTGGGAAAAGGCTTTGTTGTTGTTGTTGTTGTTGAATTCAATCTGTCCAGAAACACCAGCAGCTTCAGACAGCTCTATCATCTGCAAATTTGCATAACGGTAATTAAGATTTAATACGCCAACAGCTGAGATGCATCATGAGTATTGAGTAAGACGCAATTTAGTCGTTCATCAAATCTGACTGTTGAGATACAAGAAAGTAGAACGTTCAAAACAGATCCTCTTTACATTGACTCGAAATGATTTTCTTTCGTATCTAATCTGCATTCATTCTGTACAATACAAGGGCACTTGCTACGTAATATCAGACGTTATTAAGGGGAGGAACTATGAAGTTCTAAACAAATGAGCACGAAGAAGCAGAAATCTTCCAGCATGAAAATATCAGCCAACTAAGTTGCTTCTTTCACAAGCAAAATTGCAAGGTCTGTTACCTGTACAACCACCTCATGACATTGCTACCTGATCTTGCTTTTATCACCCATCTTTGTATCATCTGAATTAACCCACAACACTGACCTTCGAGTGTACTGACTACTTTGTATCCTCCCATTGCTGTCCCTTCCCCATCCTCTTTACATCAACATCTGTTTCAAACCAAAAAAGAAAGTTGCACCAAGTATTCACGAGGTTAAAATTAAATCAACCGAAACATTCCAAACCATTATGCAGTAAACTATTAAGTTGCACAGGTAAGAGGTTCCCTGTCTAACCATTGAATCCACAACTTTGCTTTATCCCCTAGGGAGAACACAATCACTGGTCCAGAATGAGGAAGCTGCGCATTGGCAAAAGCAGACCTTTTCCACCACCACAACTTGCTAAGTCCACCCTCGAGCCAGCATTTGAATTTGGTTCATGAAGCAATGAATAGGAAGAGAACCAGAAATTCTGTCACAATCAACTAGACTTGTGCCTGATCGCCACCTTTTCTTGCTTCAGCATATTCCGGAGCTAGCCTCACTTTGGTCCTCATGAATTAAGTCATCTAAACTGGTGGACTGTGAAACCCATCCAAACCTAAGCATGCTCTCAAAAATCCTTGCTGCTTTCTCCCCATTCCCTAATTTGTAAAATCCGTGAACTAATGTGCTGCATGTAGCAAGACTGAGCACAAATCCTTGTTCTCCCATTTCATCAAGTGCCTTCATTGTCTCAGCAAATTCTTCCCCTTGGAATAGTGTACCTGTCAGTGCATCAACCACTACACTGTTCGAGATTGCACCATTGACCAAAGTTTCATCCACCAACCTTAAACATTTTACCAAATCACCTTCTTTGCAATAAGCATCAACCATCATACAATATGTAACTTCATTAGGCTTGAGTCCCCTCGTCACCATGTCCTCAAAGAGAGCAAACATCTTAAATCTGCTTCCCGTGCTATTGTATCCGTGTAAAAGTGAAGCATACATTAAAACATCTGGCGTCATATTCCTTTTCTGCATTTCCAGAAAGAGCTGTTCTGATTCTCTCATCAATCCCTCTTTGCAGAGGGAAACAATCAGAATCGTGTACGTGACTTGATCTGGTGTCACATGCTTATCCACCATATCTTCCAACAACTGTTTAGCTTCAATCACCCTCCCCAATTTGCAGAAGCCATCAATCAATGCATTGAAAGGAGAAGTGGCAGCAATGCCCTTCCCCACCATACCCCGAAATAAAGACAGGGCCTTCTCCAGGTCACCTGCCTTGCAGCACCCATCAATGAGGATGCAGTAGATGAAGCTATCTGTAGGGATCCCACGTAGAAGCATCTCATCTAATAACTGAAATGCCTCGGTTATATTTCCGGATTTGCTATATCCGTCCATCATTGTAGCATAAGTCACAGCATTAGGAGACAAACCCTTTCTGGAGATTCCATCAAACAGTTCTCTGGCACTATCAGTGTCACCTGACTTACACAATCCATTAATCAAGGCGTTATAAGTAACAATGTTTGGATCAACGCCTCTCTGGCACATCTGTTCAAGAAGATCGAAAGCCTTATCCACATTTCCCTGCTTACAAAGGCCAGATACGAGAGAGCTGTAAGTAAAAACATCTGGAACCAGATCCTTGCCAAGGAGCTCGGAGAAAATCCCCATTGCTTCTTGAATTTTTCCATTCTTTGAGAGACCATGAATAATGACACTATAAGTTTTGATATCTGGGAGCACCCCTCGTCCAAGCATACACCTAAATGTAGAATATACTTCCGTTAAGTTACCCTCTTTGCAGTGCCCTTCAATCAGGGCTGTATAGATAACATCATTAGGAGCTATACCGCAACTCAACATCTCCTGGAAATACGTATTCGCAAGTTGCATTTTCCCCTCCTTACAGTACCCATGAATAAAAGCCCCGTAAGTATACACATTAGGCTTTAATCCTCTCTCAACCATTTCCACGAAGTAAGTCCTGGCTTCGTCCATTTTCCTGGCTTTACAGAGGCCAATTATAAGAGAATTGTAGCAAAAGGCATCAGGCATGACCCCCTTTTCCGTCATTCCTTTTAGTACTTTGATTGCCTCTCCAAATTTTCCCTCCTGGACGTGACCTCTAATTACAGTTGTGTAGACAACAGCACCTGGCTTCAAACCTCTGCTAGTCATTTCCTTCAAAAGTTGATTAGCCCCTTGCATATCTCCACACCGGCTTAGGCCATTGATTATAGCTCCATAAGTGTACACATTGGGTGCAAAGTTCCTCTTCTTCATCTCGTTAAGTAACTCACAAGCCTTGACCATATTTTGCTCTCGACAATACCCGTCAATTAAGAACTTGTATGTCTGGGCATTAGGTCTAGTGCCCATAACATTCATCTCATTCAAGAGAGCTTCTGCCTTCTCCATCTTACCAATTTTAGACATCCCAGAAAAAATTGCATTACATGTGGAATCGCACAACTTAAAGCCACGATCAATTGTCTCATCTTTGATCCTCAGAGCCTCTTCCAAGTAACCTTCTTTCATCAACCCATCAATCAAGGCAGCGTAGCAGGTGTTGTCAGGACTCAAACCTTCATCATACATGTATTTCAACATCAATTTTGCTTCTGTTGATCTCTTCTGTCTGCATAACCCATCAACAAGTGCCGAATAAGTATACCTATCCGGGACCAATCCCTTCTCAACCATAGACTTCTTTACCGCTAAGGCTTCATCGACATCCCCAGCTCTACACAAACCACCAATCACCACATTATAGGTACTTAAATCTGGATTACCACCCTTCTCCTCCATCTCAAACAGAAACCTCTTTCCCTGCCCGGCATTCCCTGCCCTACAATGGGCATGGATCACATTGTAATAAGTGTAAAAATCGGGTTTCATTTTCGCCCCTAACATCCCATCATACACCTTCCAAAACAACTCCATTTTATTACACTTCAACAAATCATTCAACAGAAAATTGCAGCAATCCAATCTTGGCAAAATCCCAACTTTCCTAAGTCCCAGAAAAACATCAGCAGCCTCATTCAACCGCCCCGCCGCCATAAAAGCTCTAATCAGAATCTCAAAAACAATCTTATCAGATCCATCACACTCACCATCTCTAAAACAACTAACAACAGAATCCAAAACTTCAAAAACCGGTTTTCGGGTCTTAACCATTCTATCTAACACAGCATTAGCCTGCTCAAACATCTTGGAATTGCACAGAACAACAGCAAGAATCGAAAAGGAATGCAAATTTTGGGGAAGACCCAGATGGGTATCGGTCCATAGGAAGAAACTGAGGAGGCGCTTTGGGTCACCAACCTGGTGGTTCTGCTGCAGAACGGCTCGGACCACATGTGGGTTCAGCTTCCTGGGGAGGTGCGAGGAGTTGAGAACCAAGTGCCAGTCGCTGTGGTTTCTGAGGATGGTGGAGATTTCTCTCACTGTCTCGTCATCGTCCTGTTTGAACGTCTCTGATTGCTGCGAGGTGGTGGTGCAATATTTGATATGAATCGCAAGTCTTGCTTTTGCAATACCAATTCGATTGCTCAGATGAAATGCAAAGAGATTTCCATGAGAAAATAACCCCATTTTTTCCTGATAACCCAACTTGTGAGCCACTCAGCTATGGCAATGGAGGCATGAGAGCAACACAAAGTCATCTGACCAGGGTGAAATGAGTAAGAGAGAGAAAGAAGAGAGATTGTGATTGGGCTGGACTATTTTGTAAAGTTTTGAACTTTGAAGCCCAATTCAAAAACCCAAATGAACCCAAATGGCCATGTACTTTCTTCAGCTCCAAATTCTCATCTGCGGTTGGTTGCAGCTGGGTTCCCTCCTCCTTCTTTCTCCTCAAAGCTTCTTGAACTCGTAACCTCCATTAATGCACTGCAAACAACAAACCCTCCTTTGAATTCTGCAGAAAAATCCATGGATGCTCTGTAATTTTCCTATCTAATCAACATCAGGTACATGCTTGCTCAATCTGTTTTTTCAAAGTGTTTGATGGGTTATGCAATTTTGGATCGTATATTTAATGGCTAATTTTCTTTCATTTATTTTGTTCAATGGACTTTTGTCTCCTTTTCGATTCATGAAGTCATGAAGTGGGTATTATACAATTTGTTCAATAAGAAATGTGAAATTTACTTTGAAGCTTTGGTCTTTGAACTATTGCTGCATAGGAAAGTGATAGAAGCCAGCGGGTATGAACTGGGTGAGGCAGAGAGTGCTGTGGTCAGTTGGGAGGCAGGGGCAGAGGCGTTTGCTGCATACTTACGATGCGCCGAGCGAAAGCTTGAAGATGAAGATTGCAGAGTTGGGGAAAATGAGGAGGAGGAGAAGCTCAAAGAAAGATAAACATTCGGTGTTCGTCGAGGTTCCGGAGTCCATGACCTACCTCGACACAGCCACAATGCCCCAGATTCTCACTGCAGTTGGCATTGCCCTCTTCGCCAAGCTCCTCATGATGGTAAGAAAAATTAACAACATTTTTCTATCAATGTTTCCACAACCCCATTTGTTTATTTGCTTTCTGTTTCCTAAATTTTGTTGCTTTATTGTAATCTCCGAATAGAAATCGCATCTTGTGGAAATTTTGATTTTGATGATATTCATAGCTGTCTTTTGCACACTGCATTGTTCTGCCATTGTTAGTGCTGCTTGTGTATTCCAAGAAAATAATGGTTTCCTACTTGTTTGCACGTTATAAATGCTTGAGAATATTAGTTTCTCGTACCAATAAAAAGGATTAGATCAAGGCCGAAAATGAGATAAAAAAGATTAGATCTTGGAAGTTAAAATCTTGTCTTCTTACCTGTCACTGGTCATGTTTGATTCAAAGGAAGATGAAATACGTAAATGAATTATACCTTGTTGAAGTGTAGAGCTTTTTTGTAAAGGTTTTATTTTCCGGACAATAGAGGGAATGGCTTACCTTGTTTGATGTAGGTAATGTTTTGGATTTCGTTGGTTTTAAGTCTATATAGTGACTTATGTAACGGCCTCTCATCGCTGGCAGTACGATGACTCAAGGTCCCAAGAATTGATTGAACGCAAAATAAAGAATGCTCCTGCTGAGCAAGGCACTGTTAGGATGCTTTCCCGAGAGGAATGGGAAGAAATTCGTGAAGTAAGACCGAGGACTCCATTTGAATCCAAACTTGCTCGTCCAAATGCACGCTTAAGAACTGGAGAACCATTACGCATGGTGAGGCATAAGTTATTTTTTACTCTTAACCAGTGCTACATATTTGTAACATTGTTTTTGCAGTCTTGGTCTTGCTGATCGTTGGATAATAGGCTAGGATCAGTCTTGTTTTCCTACATCAAATTGCAGTGTCATTTTGGTATATATGCAATGAAAAATGGTATAGCATCTCAAGTTTTATAACTAATGGCACCAGCTGATGTTCTCCCCCAAGCTGCCATTTACAGAATTTGAGTCTAGTTTTAGCGGGTCTGCTTATGCACATGAATGTTAGGTTACTGCTGGTTTTTCTACTGCACATTAATGTTAGGTTGCCGCTGGTTTTTCTAATGTACATGAACGTTACGTTACTACTGGTTTTCCTAACATACGTGAGTGCTTTAGCAACCACGTATTTTTATTTTTCGTTTTCAATTGGCCATTTAGCACTTGGATATTTGCGTACCTAGACTTGCACTGGTGACAAATTTGCTGACATTTTCACAAGTTCTGAACCATATATTTGCCTCTTGATCTGAGGAGTTTAAGTTGTATCATGTTTCTCACCCTTAATAGCTTCCAACCGGCGTAAAATTTTCTGTTGCGACCTTGCTATGCTTAACTGCTTTAGAAAGTATCATCTCTGTGATATTTTACTTCGGTGCTTTTTGTTTCATAATTTGGTTCATTGCCGACGGGAAGGGTCTTACACTGCACTAGAATGTAGAAAACCATAGATCTTAAATATTTTGATTTTAATGGATTTCTCTGAAGGAGCATAAGTAGGAAATGTACATTCCATTGTCCCGAATGAAAACGGTTTGATGCTTTGTACATCTGCTACCCTTTATGTTTTACTTCCGAGCAGGAAATAAATGTTTGTTCATACGTTTCTCGCAGGAGGATGTGAAGGATTGGACGATAGATGTGCTGACAGATGCATTTGCTCGGGTTGAAGAAAGCGTTAGACACACTTCCAAGTGACTTGTTCCCCATCTTTTGACCAGAGCCGGCCCTGAGATTTCAGGGGCCTGTACAAAAATGAATTGGAGGCCCTAAAAAGTATTAAGAATTTTATTTTTTTATTTTTTTGTTCAAAATAATAACTTTAGTTTTCAATTGAGCTTCTATAAATTCTAATAGCACAAACAAATTTAACAAATCAACAAGTGGAAAGGTGGCGCATTGTTTTTCCTTAACTATTTAGAGGGTCAGGGTTTGAATTTTCATGTTATTGTGTGGAATTTTTATATTATTTTGTGGAAGCTTATGCATTTAATAAAAATATAAACTGAAAAAATGATGAAGATGAGTTTCAAACCCATCCCCTAAGCCAATGTAACAATTCCACTTGCGCTAAAATTGAGGTTTGTAAGATTCTACACATACTACTATATATACGTAAATGCATGCAAAATTGAAAAATAGGAGGTTCTTCCGATTTGGGGCCTTGTGCGGTAGCACCACTTGCACCCCCTCAGCGCCGGCCCTGCTTTCGACTATGTAACATAGTGAATATCGAATTTTTTTAATCAAGAGTCATACACATAGCCTACATTGGACCAATTCTACGTACTTACGAGCCTCCAGAAGATAGCATCTATGAGTTGCTTCTGAAAGGATATCTTGCAGTCATGTGGATTCGATTTCTGGTATAATTTTGTGATGCTTTAATGCAGAAAATATACTTCAAAGAACCACCACAAAGCAATGGTTGCAAAGGCAGGTGGTAAAGGATGCAGTCTGCTTGCACGTTCCATGTGATGGTAGCCAGAGCTTGCAGAGGCAAGTGTACGATTTTGTTCAATTTGTTGGGCCTACTTGCTCTGTTATGTTTGCTTTCTAAAGGCAAACTCTGATATCTTGGGCCGCAGCTGATCAAATATTATCTCATTTTCCTATCTTCATAGGAAAAAGCAAAACCTTTGGTACCACCTGAGATGTGACTGTGTTAGTATTTCAAGCCAATCACGCAATATCATGATTTTTAACTTACTCAAGCAATGCGTGATTAACTTGTGGTACAGCCACAGTTTTGTATGGAAGTCTTATATTTGATTAAGAGTGGCGACCCCTGCACACGATGTCTTATATTTGATTCACCACCCTTCTCTTCTGATATTAAGTGATTAAGAGCACTTATCTTACGCATGGGTTTTTTTTTTTTTGGGTGAAACAACTAATTCTATTAAAGACAAAACACACTAATACAAAGTGATGCAAGTTCGAAGACAATCCACAACACTGAAGTAAAAGTGCAGCCCATTACAAAAGTAAAGTAAAAAAACAAGCTCCAAAAGCGAGTCCAAAACAATGCCCTAATTGAAACCCTAGATTTGGAAACGAGAGTCAGCCTCCTCCACCAAAGTACCAACACCACCATCGCTAAGCCGCCGCCATTGGTAAGAAAACCCAACGAAGCGAAAGGATGAACAGAAAATGGGGTTGCGCAAGCCACTTGCGCTAAAAGCCTCCCATAATCCTACCAAGTAGTGTGAATTGCACTTTAGCAGCCACAGAAATCCAAAGCACTCCTTCAACCGAAGTCCATGGAGGAAGAACTCAAGGAGCCGAATAGCCGAACCTAGTGCAAATATTCGACTCTCCCTTCCTTAGTATTGTTTTATCAAAAAGTAAAACGTTCAACCCTCGGTTGCCAATTACGCCAAATTTTTATCATTACAAATGATATTACTATTCTAAACTACCAAAGAGAAGAAAAAGATTATCAAAACAATCCACGACTTGCTCGGTGAGTACCAATTATGCCAATTGAGTCGTAAAGAATCGGAAAGCCAAGAATGTCAGTCTGCAACATCTTTCACTGGGTTTTTGTGTTTGCCACTACCCTTTCAAATAGAACTCAATTTTTGCCCTTTCAAAAAGTGCAAGTCGATATGTGTGTTCCAACTCGTTACAGGAAAAAAGAGATTTTATTCAATTTTTAGCATTTGGAGTGCACTTTTTAGTACAAGAACTAGAACTTGCTCCTCAAAGGCCACTCGTTTCTCAATTGAGATTGTGGGGGCAGTGATGCAATTTACACTATGCTATTCCTGACCACATATATTCCACCCTCACTAAAAGGTTTATTCATCTATTGAAAATATGGCCCATGCTAGAGCCTAGAGGTGGTTAAAATTTTAAAATTTAGTTTTTCAATGCGGTAACGTGAGAATCACTAAATTTGCTAATCAAATGTCGTATACATGTCAGCACCTTATGGTTTGTGGCCTAGTTTTTGGATAAATCGAATCGGAATAAAGGAGTTTCAAATCCAATCAAAAGAATTTCGAACGAGCATTGCCTTCCAATATTATTTAAAAATAAATAAAAATAAAAAATTGGAATTTCAACATCCATTATAATTTCAAAAAATTCAGAATTTATTGGAATCTTTCGAAGCAACATATTTCATTATGAGTAATGTTACACTTACCACATTTGTATCACTACTCTACTAGAGGTAGGGTCACCAATACACACAAGTCCCACTTTTATTAGAGCATTATTATGAATATGTGTGAAAAATATAATAAGAGTAGCATTTTTGTTTCATAATTCTTTTATTACTTACTCAAAATTTTGAGTATGTCCTACAATTTGAAAGATCAAAATTGAAAACTGAGTGAAACCCCGAAGAAACTACACAGGAGCTACAAAGTCGCATTTTGCAAGAAGAAATATAATTAGTGGAGTGTTACTTTTGAAAAAAAAATTATTTCAAATTTGGAATTTCAACATTCATGCTATGGTATGTACTGACTACTAGTTTGTCATTCTAAATAGTTCAAACTTGAATAACACAATATATTTTGAAACTTTCAAGATTTTAAGATATATTCCTATTCCAATTCCAATTCTAATTTTAAGATACAACTAGAGGAGAGACTTTCTAGTGTGTCCAAAACACCGGACGAAACAATATGTGTCATTATACAATTGGAAGGACTCTTGAAAAGAAAAAAAAAACAATTCATCCAATTGTATAATAATATGTGGTGTTTCGCCTGTGTTTTAGGCATATAGAAAAATTTCTCCAACAAGAGGTGTCCAAAATTGCAAAGTTATGACTTCAAGTACGGTGACATTATGTTTACTAAATTTTATAATCAAAATACGTACTGGTAACCTGTACACATGTCAGTATCTTATATGTTAGAAATATACGCACATACACACATGCCCTTTATGCAAGGGGATCTCTATTTTTTTTTTTAAATGGGGATTAGGTGTGAGGCTCACTCCACATCGAACTTCAACGATTCGAACCGTCTATTTTGTAAGTCTTGATTCATAGATCATCCTTGCAAAAATTCAATTTAATTCGAAACCATTTGCTTATTTAATTATTAAGATAAATTTTCATTGTTTCTTATATAACAAAGTATTCGTTAATTTCTTTGAATCCAAATAGATATCTTAAACATTTCCGATTTGGCTAATATTTTGCATGGATGATTTATGAAGTGCAACTTGAAAAATAGACGGTTCGGATCGTTAAAGTTTATGCAGTGTGGACCCCACAACTAATTTCCATATTTATAAAAAAAATGGGGATCCCTTCCTTAAAGATTTCCTATATATATAGAGGTATTTGTTGATTTCCCCCTGAACTTGTATGGAGCTGCCAATTTCCCTCTTGAACTTTAATTTTAGCTAATTACCCCCCTTAACTTTTATGATTAGCCAACTCCCCCCTTGGTGTTAGAATTTAAAATTTTTCATTCAATTTTTCATCCATCCATTTTTTCCTTTTTTTTGCCCTCATAGTTGTTTCAGTGATCCAAATTGATGGAAAATTAGATGAATTTTTTTAAAATCTAACGCCAAGAGAGAAATTATCTATTTATAAAAGTTCAGGGGATAATCGGCTAAAATTAAATTTCAATGGGGAAATTGGCTAATTATAAAAGTTCAAGGGGGTAATCGGCTAAAATTAAAGTTTAAGGAGAAAAATGACAACTTCATACAAGTTTAGGAGGCAAATCAACAAATATGCCATATATAAAACCTAGAATCCGCCCAAAGTTGAATCAATGAAATGTTTTCACATTACATTGCCAACCAAATTTGGTAAATAAATTGGTGAGCTTGACCGTACTAATGTCATTTCGCCTGCCGATAGTGGCGGTGGGAAGAATGGGTTAAGGGAGGTGAAGGCGGCACCAACCTCCATTTTTAATGTGTTACTGATTCTGACATGCACATAAACTCCTTAAAGAAGGTCGGGTTTAAGTTAAAGCCACAATACATGAGTATCATGTACGCTTAAGGTATATAGACCAGTAATTCCGTTTAGGTTAGTAACCCGCTCACATTAAGATTTGGTCGGGACATGTCAATGACAAACTACTAGTCAATACCGATTTCGTCTTTAATTTAAGGATGACTTTGGATGCAGTCCCTATTCATCAACGTTTTTTTATTGAAACTTTGTTGATTTTCGGTTTTTTACTGAAGTTCCTGAAATTAATGCAATAATGCATTTCTATGTATGTTATTATAATTTTTAAATTAAAATTTGATATTTGTAGTTATTTATATTAATGAGATTTTAAATAAAATCCATAATTTTTTGAAATTATTAAAAATATATATACTTAAATAAAGCCCATGATTTGTCATTACTTATATTAATGATATTTTACATACAGAAAATTGGTAATTTTTATACGCTACATTTTACATACAAAAAAGTTGGTAAATTTTATACAAAAAATGTGATACATTTTATATATAAAAAAAATGGGTACATTTCATATTAAAACAATGGTACATATTACATATAACAAAGTGGTATATTTTAAAAGACAAATGGGTACATTATTAATAAATTATGGGTACTGATAAATGATAAAAAAAAATATGAGTACAAATAAAAGTTTGAAAAATATGGACACAAAAATAGATTAATATATGGGTACAAACTAAAACTGAAAAGAAAATTAGCACAATTTGAAAAGAGGGTTGCAAATTAGAATGGGTACAAACTAAAAAATAAAAATATAAGATACAAAATTTAGCCATAAATATAAATATATCAAATGTAACGTTTTTTTAGAAATAAAATTTAATTATCTTGATATGTAAAATATTTTATTATGAAATAATTAATGATTTTTATTAAAACCAAGGGATCTTGATTAAAAATTAAAAAAGAATAAGGTTTCAGTCAATTGAGTTGAAAAAAAAAAGG